CGCCAAGCCCTTCACATCGCACCTTATGTGCGTAATCTCCAACCTCACATAATCACGGTGGAATAGATGTTCTCTTGTTTCTCAAGTGGGGAAACTGAAGCCCGGAGAAGTCAACCGGAGACATGAAGGTTCGCTTTCCTTTTACCTCCGATGGGCCCTGAGCTGGACACTTGAGTTTTTAATCCCTTGTTTCTACTTCAGAGTGTGACCATAGCTCTGGTCACCTGACTGGTCAGTGCACTGAGCTTCCAGCCAACACAGTCATCGCACTGTCCAGCTTTGCTTCTCCTCTTGCCCCTGGGGTCATGACACCCCACCTGTCTTACCACCCATCTCTTGAGTCCAGAGGGCTAAGGTCCCAGAGGCTTGTATTAGAGGACTCCAATGGTTTCCTCCTGCTTACATATGCCAAGATTCAGAGTCAGACAACAGGAGTTCCCAGGATGGACAGGGGCCCTGGAAGAAAACTTCACACCATTCCACTCCAAAGGTTGTTCCCAGCCCGAGAGCAGCTCCCGTCATGACATTTCCTTATATGTTGCCCCCAATGAACTATGGTTTCCGGTCTCTGTCACATGGACCACCCCTTCTCCCAAGTTCCTCTTATTACTTCCCGCATTGGCCTTATCTTGGACAACCGCCAAGGCTGAATCTGACGCTGAGTCGACCCAGCAGGGAGAGGAGGCCCGCGGACTCCATCAGGGAGAAGACAAGGCTGCCTGCAATCATTACGCAGCTGGTCAGTGAGGGAATGTGCCAGTTCCAAAAATACCTGCCCACGCTGGCCCATCAGCTCCTTAGCTCTGACCTGTGTCACTGAGCGATCACGTCCCTGCCTGATAGGCCTCCAGCAAGGTAGAATCAGACTGTCCGATGGGCAATCATTATTGTTCAGAGCTGAGGAAGAGTCACACAGGGACAGCCGCTGCCCACAGGGGTCAGAGGGACAAAGGGCAGGAGTGAAGTCTCCAAAAGCAACACCCACACCTTGGAGTGGACAGAGAGAGGTGTGAGAAAACTCTTCTAACCAGATCTGTGACAGACTAAAATGAAGTACAGGTTGAGCATCCCTAAACCCAAAAACCTGAAATCCAAAAAGTTCCCAAAGCCAACACTTTCTGTATGCTAACATGAGACCTTAAGTGGAAAATTCCACCCCTGACCTCATGTGATGGCTCACAGTCAGAATGCAGGTGAGCAGGGACCAGCGGTTAGCGTAATGGCTATGTTGCTGAACCCGGGACCCTTCCCAAATGTTCCCACGTGGGCAGATAGCTGGCTCCCTCTAGCCTGTCCCTGACATCCCGCCGTAACCCTCTGCCCTAGAACACTGAGTCGGGGATCCTTTGTCTAGTCATTCCCCAAATGCACCTTTCATCTTCTTAAAAAACGGAGCTTCCGAGATTCAGCTTATTTAATGAACTCATAGTCACCTGTCAACTACTCCCTTAGGCCACTTCCTCTGGAAGCTTTCTGATCCCCCACTCACCTGAGCAGAATTGAATTCCACCTCCTGGGCACCCACAGAGTATTCATCTGCTGTGTCTTGTTATACCCACCTCCCTTGTGAGATGGGCTCTCCCAGGACCACATCTAGCCCTTGGTTGTCTTTTTTTTAAGAGAGAGATTTTTGCTATAGGGCATGTGCACTCACCAGAGAGACAGAAAGCCAGAAATCACCCCCTGGGGGGATGACCTTGCCACAGTGCATTCTCCTCTCAGGGCATGCACCCACATGTGCCTGGCATGAGTCTTAAGCCACCAGGTCTGGGACTTGAACTGTGGTTGATTACATGGGAGTCCTGCCATGTAACCATTACGCCATCTACTCGTCCTGCCCTTGGTTTTCTTATGATCCCCAAATGATATGGGTGCCATAAGGACTAAATGAAATGATGCGTGGAAAACACCCGGCGGGGGGGGGGGGCGGGGAGCTAAACGCCTGGTGAATTTGGGCTCTCATGTTATCACTCATCCCTGCATCCCCATGGCTGGGCTAGGGCAGGCGCTTTTAGGATTTGTTAAATTGAGTTGAAAGGCTGGAGTGTGAGAGACTGACTGCACCAGCAATGGCCAAGCCAATATAACATACAATTCTGATTCTAAGCCACAACTCTGAAATGAATCCCCACCCTCAGTGACCAGCCCAGGAAGCCAGCACTGTAGATCAGACTCGTAAAGTCGGACTGCTCTCTCCAGCAAACAGCAACCTCTGTAACAAATGGCCCAAGGGCCAGGGCTCGATCATGAATGGAACAGCCTCCCTGACTTTTGTCCGCTCTTACTACCAAGGACCAATCAGAGAAAGCCAAACATGTACCCGTAATCACTCACAGAAGATGCTCCCCTGCTATTTAGCTGCTTACAGCTTCCCCAGGCCAAAAGGTGCCAATCAGAGTGCCTGAAGCCTCCCTGGCTTTCCCACTCCTCTGCCCGCCTTTGAGTCTCTGCCAAAGCACTAGTGATGGTGGCTGCCCCCCTTGGTATAGTCAGGCTCAGAATAAGCCGCCCTTGCTTGCTCTCATCTGGGCCTGGCCTGGTAGGCTGAGGACATGCTCATTAAATAAGAGCTAAGTGACTCCGGAGGAAGTGGTGAGACAGGGATGCAGGAGAAGAAGGGACAGAAGAGCCACCGCCAGACATGGGGACCTACTTTCCACAGGGCCCACCTCCCAGGCAGCACCCGTACCATGTGTGCCCTTGGGTTCTCCAATCTTGCTTTTCCCTTCCATAAAATTAACGAAGAGCAAACAGCAAGAGGATAGGATCACTCACAAATGACTCTACCCTAAGGGGGTTAAAGAGCCTCAAATCCCAGGCACCCTGGGAGACAATGTGGCAGGCAGGGAGAAAGCAGACAGTTCGCTCTCCCACGCTGAGGGAGCCCACCTCTGTCAAGGACCCAGAAGAGGACACAGCAGGCCTCACAGAGCCCAGCCCTCTGTGTATGCCTCCTCCTCACACATAAAAGGAGAGGGGTTTTCTATTTCAAAGAGAAACCACAACAAAAGCTCAGGGCAGAGCTCTCTCTCTGAGGGAAGGGGTGGGGTAGGGAACTGGGCTCTAGCCCCTCCTTGCCTCTGGCCACCACATGCCTCAAGCCAAGCAGCAGGCACCCTGGCCTCCCCTTTGTAATCCAGGCAGCATCTGGGAGTCAGAAGCCACAGCAGCAGCTAGGGAAGAGTTCAAACCGCACCGTCAACTGGCCATGGAAGTGTGCCGATTGACGCGGTCAAGGCACCAATGCACAGTGCTCCCAGCAGCGTTTTCCAGCCCCTTTGCCCTGCCTCCTGGAGAGGGCCTATCCACTCATCCCATAAGGCTCCTCAACTGTCAAGTCCATAGAAAGCTCTGGCTTCCTTACCCACCCCTGCCCACCCCGCTCTTAGAAAGTATTGACTCTTCTTCCCAGCACCTTGCTAGCATTTTACTTCTATTAAATAATCAGAAGAGTGGACAACACTGGCCTTTTTTCCCTCATGACACACCCAGCTGAAGATGAGCAGGGCATATACCAGTTTGCCACAGTCTCCACCCCTCCCTGTTGTCACAGCACTCCATGGTGAGGGAGACACCCTGGTTTACTGGCCTTCCCTGTCTCCCCGCCTCTGGATACAGGTCTGGGAGACGGTAGGTCTCACGCAAGGGAAGACCTAGTGAAGGAGAGCACTAATGAATGCTCATCTAACCCAAAGGAAACCCCCCCACACCTGACGGTGCCCTCCCCCAAGTCCCAGACAACCCCACCATCCACAATCCATCTTCCTATCCTCTGGCGCACAGACGTCCAGTGCTGAATGGCTGGAGACAGCACTAAAGGGCCCGTGAGCTAACAGAGGTGGTCTGAAAAGGTGGCCCTGCCTGTGAGGTGGGTGACCTGGGCCCCATTTGTACAGATTCTGCTCTGAGAGCCGGGACGAGCCCCTTCCTCCCTGAACGTCCTTCTCCAGCCATGAAAAGACAATGGAGGCCGCATTAATATTTTAGTCTCTCAATCAGTGGCCCATGAGCTAAAACTAGCTTGCAAAAGGGTTTTATTGGCTTTCGTATTTTATAAAATTTCAGGAAATTCACATACAAGTCCACACTTCCAGTTTCTATTAAATAATGAGAAGAGCGGACGACTCCAGGCCGTTTTCTCTCGTGGCACACCTGGCTAACACTGAACAGTTTGCTACAGTCCCCACCCTTCCCTGTTGTCATATGCCCCATCTGAGTCGCTCATTACACGCTTGTTCAGGCTGTTCAGACTCCATCAACATGTTATGTATCTATTACTCTAAAGAGGACCTCAGATTCTTTTCACGTCCTTATCAGATGGTGAATTTCAGAAGGCAGGAACCACCTCTCCTCTGCCCGCTGTGCCCTCCACAATTCTCCCGCCCCATCTTGCAAAGATATAACAAGCACCCAGGCTGCAGCTCCACGCCATGGTTGCTGAGCTGCAGTGTCCTCTTACAGAAGGACAAAGCTGGCCCTGCAGTGGTCAGTGCTTTTGGCTGGTCCAAAGAGTCATTTCAGAAGAATCAGAATCCACCTGCTGGCATCCTGCCCTTCTCCCCACCAAGCACCCACGGCTTCTTGCTCTGTGTGCCCAGCAGAGAAAATGCCAGCATCCTGGCATTTATTGTTCCTCAGCTGAGCAAGCAGCCCAAGAGAACACTGCTGGATTGGAGGGTGAGAAGAAGGCTACTGACAAATACCTACCCCTGGCCCTCAGGATCCAAATGTCCTGCTGTGCTGTTCAGAACTAGAGAACCACTTTAGAACAATACCCTGACCCTTGGTCAGTCGAGTCCACAGCCAGCTACTGACAGAAGTGACCGGAGATTTCCAGGCTGCAGAGAGGATGCAGGTCCCTCTTTAAAGCCAACCCCTGGCAGTGACTTCATGGATCTAGCTGAGCAGGAACTGGCACAGGTGACACTTCGCAGACAAGGTCAGAGCCTAAAGGATGAGGGTAGCCCATGCTTGGCCAGCCTGAGCTGACCAAATCCTACCTTGGAGCTGACTGAATGTGGTCATGAACTTGCTGGTGAGGGACTTGAGCTCGTTGTTAGCCAGGGTGATGAGGTGGATCTGGTCAGTGACATTACGCAGGACCTTGTAGATGCCAATGGGGAAGGAAACCAGCTTGCACTCAGCCAGGTCTGTAGCCAAAAACAAGATCAGACCACAGTTATCAGCCACAGCTGCCCAAAAGCTTGCACCAGACGCACACAGACCTACACACTCCCTGCCCCCCGTCTCCCATCCCAGCCTCCTTACTCTCCACCTGTGTCTCTGTAACAAGCTACAGACCCTGCCCTCCCTCTCCCTAGAGCCTTCCTCACCAGTAATGACTTATACCTGTCCCTCTTTCACATGCTGAACCTTGAGACTTATTCTAGCACCTCTTTCCTACCGTAGCCTACCAGCCAGAATGCAAAAAGTAGAACCCTGTCCACAGCATCACTGATGGCAGTGTCCTTGAGGCCCCGAGGAATCCACAAGTCCCTTAGGAATCATCAAAGACCCATGGTGAAGATGAGATGGGGGGGGTTGGAGGGGGTGAGGGACATTATTTTACCCCGGGAATCACTGTGTCACAATCTTCCTGCTTCAGCCTCCCAAGTAGCTGAGTCTACAGGCACTCCTGCACCTAGCCTTTCCGGATGGGCCGGGACTCAAGTTCAGGGCTCCCACGTGGCTTTGACCTGCCTGACACAGCTTCCAGTATGCACTACTACGGCTGGGCCTGAAGCTGCAGCCTTAAGAGCACTTCCCACTGGCCTACTTCTTTGGAGACAGGCCATTCACACAGGCTTGTTGTGTGACTTTCGTCCTGGTCCTGCCTGTCTGAAGACTGACCTCACACAAGCAGCAGTAGGGAAGCGGCTATGCAAGACAGTCTGGAAGTTCCTCAGACGGTTAAACTTAGGTTCACACATAACCCAGCAATTGCTCTCCTGGGTACATAGCCAAGAAAGATGAAAACATACGTCCATGCAAAAAGTGTATTACATGCTAATGTTCATAGAGGCACAGTACACAATAGCCTGGAAGTAAAACAACCCAAAGGCCCACCTCCTGAGCAAGGGAGCAAAATATGGTACGGTCATAAAAAGGCTAGTGCTTAGTTAGCAATAAAAAGAAACTGAGTAGTGGTTCACGTGCTGAACTCCCACGTGGGCCGACCACTGTTCGAGTCTGGACTTGGTGGCTTGAAACTCATCCCAGGCACATGTGGGTGCATGCTCAAAATTCCAAGAGGAAAATGGAAGAGAAGGGATTGCGGTATGGCAATTTCTCTCTGTCTCTCTCTCCAGCGAGCACATGTGCCCCATAGCAAAAATTTCTCTAAGAAAAAAAAAAAAGAGCAACGCTTCCAAACAACGTGTCCCCTGGTGCTTCGTGCCAGAGCACAAAGGGCTGAAAAGGAGTGTCTGTTGTGGGGGTTGGGAATCAGGCCAGTCTCCCAGGTAGAAGCAACAGATGTCATCACACATGCCAGGAGCAACCTCAAGGGAATGGCAGAGATCTTCATCAACGAGAGAAGCAGAATCCTGAAAGAAAAGCCAGGAACTCTCTGCCTGACAGGGGGCAGAGCTAGGAAATGGGACCACAGCCTTCAGGCACCGTGACAGGCTCCCCCTCCCCAAAGTGAGAAGTTTAACATAAAATGTTAAAACAAACAACAAATAAAGATGCCTCCCATCACTAGTAACCCCGACATGGTCTTGAAAGTTCTAGCCAGAAATCAAAGATAATGAAAACAAACGAAATGATTATTATGTGCACGTCATAACTATATACCTCCAAGGCCGAAGTAGTCATCAGACAAATTACACAAATGAAAAAGAGCTCAGCAAGCCGGCCAATGGCCTGGTGTGGAGAAGTCCAACCCGGTGGGGCTCCAGGACCCGTGTGAGCCCTTTGACCTTTGAGCATCCTTCCGGTCAGTTCAGTAAGTTGGCAAGGCTGCTACTGTATGCCCCCCGACTTTGGAACAAGCTTGGGTCACTTAGCATGTCAGCAAGGCCGCTTGCTATTTGCTCCGGGACTGTGGTAGCCTTGCTGGGAAGTGACCCCCCTCTGACTCCCCGATATACTACTATAAAAGAATTACATAGCTCCCTCATACATCTTGAGTGTGTGGTAAGATTTCCTGAAAAGTCCCCCGACCACTCCCCTTTACCCTGACCACTTACTGTTAATTACAACACTTCATTGGGCACAATAAAGGGTGTGCTAAAGTTCTTCCTGATCTTTGGAAGGCCCTTCAAGACACATTTAATATAAATAAATATAAATAGGACTAGGCCGAAACTGGCCCAGATGCTCTCGTCCCATGGTAACTAATGTTCTAACAAAATACATAATAGTGGTGCCATAGGCTACACAAGTGTATCCGCAACACCATAAACCCATTTTAAAGTTTTTCATTAACTTATTAGTC